TTTTTATCTACATCCAATATTTTTAGAGATATTGGTCAAAATTTGAATACATTTGTAAATCTTTTTTGACAAGATAGATGTTTAAAACACCACAAATTTTACTGCTTTTGACTTAAAATTAGTTGAGGAATTGAAATCTGTATTTATTTTTCACATCCGATTAGTAGTTTTCAAGATATCAGTCAAAAATCCCTTCGTTGGGAAAAAACTTGAAGCACTAAAACAGAATTTTTTTCTTCTACAGATCGTCCCTTACGACACTGCAAAATCCACCCCCCGCAAATCCCACGAGGGCCAAGCTCGTGCCAAGTACAACTTTGTGGCCCAAACCCACCTCGAACTCTCTTTGGCCAAAGGCGAATTGGTGGTGATAACGCGAAGAGTTGATGATAATTGGTTCGAGGGCAAAATCGGAGGTCGCAAGGGCATTTTTCCGGTGTCATATGTGGAGGTTTTGATCGATCCTAGTGACCCTCCACCTCCCAGTACCAAGCCAGTGGCTAGTCCAGCCGCCCATTCGTTACTCCTCAATGGGTCTGCCGGGGGGAAGGAGTCCATGGGGAGTCATAGTTATACCCCCACTTTGACTTCGAAACAATTGACTAGCAGTTATCATGCCAAACCGGTACAAATTAGTAGTTATGGGTCGCTAAATCGAGGGGGGAAAAGTCCGGTCAATCAGGCGTTACATATTGAGACCCAGTCGGAACCAGTACCGTAAGTATCTAGTTTCTGAATCTACAATCTAGATTGCAAATTCTTAATTTACAAATCTAGAATTTTGATCTAGACATCTGGATCTAGACATTTTAATCTTCTAGTTGTTTCTCTAGATTTGATTCTAGAATCTATCTTCTATGGTCAGTTTTTTAGTTTTTTTCCAACTAGGCATGTCATGTATAAATTTAATTTATAGTCAGATCTAAGGGAAACGCTCAAGACTAGTCATAGAAGATAGATTCTATAAATGTTCAAAATCTATAAAGGAGAAAAAATCTAGAAGACTGCTAATAGAAGATACATTTTTCTAATCTATCTTCTAGACTCCTCTTCTAGATTTTTTCTAGAAGACTGCTAATAGAAGATACATTTTTCTAATCTATCTTCTAGACTCCTCTTCTAGATTTTTTCCTGTTAGAAAACTTTGAGAATCTAATTCTAGAGTCTATAAACTATGATTTTGTTTTTCCGAATTTTTTCCTTTTTTCAGCTATATATCTTAGTTCTAAAGTGTGGTATCTATCTTCTACAACCAACCTTTTGGATTTTTTTTTGTTTCTAGCTAGACATCTGAATTTTGAAACGATATTTCTATATGTGATAGATTTTTTTGTTAGACATCTTATTTTTGAAACGTTTTTCCTAGATTTTGTTCTAGAATTTACTCGTTTCTTCTAGGATTTTTCCTGTTTTCGAGTAAACATCGTAATTTTAAACCGATCTTTCTTAATTTGATCTTAAAATCAATCGTTTTCTATAGCCTATTTTCTAGATTTTTTTAGCTAGACATTTTAATTTTAAAGCGATATCTCTATATTCTATAACCAGCCTTTTAGATTTATCCTTTTTTTAAACAAGAAATCTTAATTCTGTAGCATTATTTCTATTTTCTATGGCTAGTCTTCGAGATTTTTTTTTCCAACTAGATATCTTAACTTTATACCGTTATAATTCTAGATTGGATTCTAGAATTTACATTCTATGGTCAGTCTTTTAGATTTTTTTTTCTTTTTTTAGCTAAACATTTTAATTTTGATGAGTTGTTTTTAATATGATTCTAGAATTTGTTCTTTTTTTTTGCTAGACATCTTATTTTTGAAGCGTTTTTCCTAGATTTTATTCTAGAATCTACTTGCTTTTTCTATATTTTTTTATTTTAGATTATTCCCTATTTTCAACTAGACATCTTAATTTTGAAGCGATATTTCTGGATTTAATTTTAAAATCAATCTGTCTTCTATGGCTGTTTTTCTAGATTTCTCTTAGGACATTTTAATTTTAAGGTGATATTTCTCTTTTACGACCAGCCTTTCAGATTTATCCTTTTTTCAAACTAGAAATCTTAATTCTGATGCATTCTTTTTATTTTCTATGGCTGGTCTTCTAGATTTTTCCTTTTTTTCCAACTAGATATCTTTACTTTATATCATTATAATTTTAGATTGGATTCTAGAATTTACATTCTTTCAGATTTTTTTTCTTTTTTCAGCTAGACATCTAAATTTTGAAGCGTTGTCTTTAAGTATGATTCTAGAATTTGTTCTTTACAGTCAGCCTTCTAGATTTTTTGCTAGACATATTATTTTTGGAAAATTTTCCTATATTTTATTCTAGAATCTACTTGTTTTTTCTATAAATTTTCCTTCTAGACTATTCCCTTTTTCTAATTAGACAACCTAATTTTGAGGCAATATTTCTAGATTGGATTTTAAAATTAACCTGTCTTCTGTGGCCACCCTTCTAGATTTTTTTAGCTAGGCATTTTAATTTTAAAGCAACATTGCTATATTCTATGACCAGTCTTTTAGTTTATCCTTTTTCAAAATAGAAATCTTAATTCTGAAGCAATATTTCTATTTTATATCATCACCAGTTTGCTAGATTTTTTTTCCAAGTAGACATCTCAAGTTTATTGCGTTATTTTCCTAGATTTGGATTTAGAATCTATATTTTATGGCTAGTTTTTTAGATTTTGTCTCTTTTTTTTTTAACTAGACATGTTAATTTTGAACAGTTGTTTTAAATATGATATTAGAGTTTACTTTCTAGATTTTTTTTGCTAGACATCTTAATTTTTGGAGCGTTTTTCTTAGATTTTATTCTAGAATTTACTCGTTTCTTCTATCAATTTTCTTTTTAGATTATTCCCTTTTTTTAATTAGACATCTTAATTTTGAAGCGATATTTCTAGACTTGACATAGAATCTATATTCTATGGCTAGTCTTTTAGATTTTTTCCTTTTTTTCAGCTAGACATCTTATTTTTGGAGAATCTACTTTTTTTCCTACAATTTTTCTTTTAGATTATTCCCTTTTTTCAAGTAGACATCTTAATTTTGAACCGATATTTCTAGATTGGATTTTAAAATTGTTCTGTCTTCTGTGGCCACCATTCTAGATCTTTTTATAACTAAACATTTTAATTTCAAAGCAATATTTCTGGATTCTATAACCCGCCTTCTATGTTTTTCTTTTTTTTAAGCTAGAAATCTTAATTCTGAAGCATTATTTCTATTTTCTATGGCTAGTCTTCTAGATTTTTTTTTCTCCAACTAGATATCTTAACTTTATAGCGTTATAATTTTGGATTGTATTCTAGAATTTACATTCTATGGTCAGTCTTTTAGATTATTTTTCTTTTTTTAGCTAGATATCTTAATTTTGAAGAGTTGTTTTTAATATGATTCTAGTATTCTTCTTCTAGATTTTTTTGCTAGACATCTTATTTTTGGAGCGTTTTTTCTTGATTTTATTCTAGAATCTACTTGTTTTTTCTATAATTTTTCCTTCTAGATTATTCCCTTTTTTCAACTAGACATCTGAATTTTGAAGCGGTATTTCTGGATTTAATTTTAAAATCAATCTGTCTTCTATGGCTATTCTTCTAGATTTCTCTTAGGACATTTTAATTTTAATGTGATATTTCTCTTCTATGACCAGCCTTTTAAATTTATCCTTTTTTCAAACTAGAAATCAAAATTCTGAAGCATTATTTCTATTTTCTGTGGCTAGTCTTCTAGATTTCTTCTTTTTTCCAAGTAGATATCTTAACTTTATATCATTATAATTTTAGATTGGATTCTAGAATTTACATTCTTTCATATTTTTTTTCTTTTTTCAGCTAGACATCTTAATTTTGAAGCGTTGTTTTTAAATATGATTCGAGAATTTGTTCTTTCTAGATTTTTTGCTAGACATCTTATTTTTGGAGCGTTTTTCCTAGATTTAATTCTAAAATCTACTTGTTTTTTTTATAATTTTTACTTCTAGATTATTCCCTTTTTTCAACTAGACATCTTAATTTTGAACCGATATTTCTAGATTGGATTTTAAAATTGTTCTGTCTTTTGTGGCCACCATTCTAGATCTTTTTTAACTAGATATTTTGATTTCAAAGCGATATTTCTGTATTCTATGACCCGCCTTCTAGATTTTTCTCTTTTTTAAGCTAAAAATCTTAATTCTAAAGCATTATTTCTATTTTCTATGGTTAGTCTTCTAGATTTTTCCTTTTTTCCAACTAGACATTTCACCTTTAGAGCGTTATATATTTGGTTCTAGAATCTACATTCTATGGCCAGTCTTTTAGATTTTTTCCCTTTTTTCAACTAGACATCTTAATTTTGAAGCATTGTTTCTAGATGTGATTTTAGAATTTATTTTCTAGATTTATCCATTTTTTAAATTTTGAAGCCATATTTCTAGATTTTGTTTTAGAATCTATTTTCTACCGATTTTTTTCTTTTTCAGCTACCGCGCTTTGTACAAGTACCTCCCGCAAAACGACGACGAGCTCGAGCTTCTTGAAGGCGACACTGTCTACGTGTTGGAAAAATGCGACGATGGGTGGTACGTGGGTTCCAGTGATCGTACCGGAGCCTTTGGTACTTTCCCCGGAAACTACGTCGAGAAGATTTAGCACCAGTCAACGCACACTACGATCCGGGTACTATGAAAATTGCAACCAAACAACACCACCACACAACTGAGCTAACAACAAATACATTGCCATTGTAATCTTTCAAAAAATCATCATCCAGTTGCAATTTTCAGCTTTTAGGATATTTATAGATAAGCATCTAGTCATTAGCCAAATAGAAAAGTCACACCATATCGATATTTGTTCTTCCATTATCTAACAAATCTTCTGTGGTAGGACTAAATGACGTGTTCGTGCGTTTAACCCCTTTCTATAAACAAGACTTGAGATAGGAGTGCCTTTCAATACAATACCTTTAACCTTGTTATTATTTTATGCATCAGATAGAGATATTTACACTTAGATCAAGTGATATTGCTTTATTGATGTTCACTTAAGGTTTATTTATAACATTGTTTTACAATAAATGTCACGTTACGAATCCTTGATTTTTTCTACAACTCTACAATTCGTCTTTGGTAGTACCAAAATTTTCAGTATCTGTCAACTCTAAGGAATTCCAAAAGTCCCTAGCCCCGGTGAGGTCACCACTCGTTTTGACCTTTATTTCCCCATCTTCAAACCCTCCAATGTCAAGATATGTCAATTGGTCTCCTTGAGTTGGCCTCCATTCGGCCCCTTTCATCACTGGAGTCCTAAAACCACCAAAATTATTTTTTCCCCCAACTTATCGATTCTAGTACCCAGTTTTGGCATAAGAAACCAACATGTCCAACATAATATCCTTCATTTTCAACTCGTTTTCAGTCAAAGGTCTTGGTACAAAAACACTACCAAAAAAGTATTTAGCATCGTCACCATGACCAACAACTAGAATTTGGAATCAAAATTTTGACCAAAATTTGCTTTGGTGGTACCTTTCATCTGATTCAAATCTCCTAAATAAGTAAAGAGGTAGTAATAAACTGGTGATTTGGTAATTTTGGCTTGGAGTTTGGTACCACTTTCAGAATCTATGACGAAAATTCGGTCACTGAACATTTTGATGAATTTGTCAAAATTTTCCTGGGTTAATTTCTGGTTTTTACCCAAGTAGTACTCAATGATTTTTTCGGAAACACTTTCATGTTTAACTTTGGGAAGAGTATAAATAAACTCAAAAAATGTGGGTGCTAGAGATTTCCAATCGTTATTGATGTTGTCCAAATCATTGAGCATTACTAGAAAATTTTTAATAATTTTTTTTTCTAAAAACCACAAGTTCCATACATGATGATGGAAATGTCCCTTCATGGGCAGTATTTGACGATATCCATGGCACATCTAAGACTTTTCCAGCCTTTAGAAGGTTATAAGGAAAGTCACTCAAAAAGGGATTTGGCCCTTTTTTCTCTACAACTGGAGCAAAAGGGGCAAAWGGCAAAGCCTTGTACTTGAAAAACATTTCAATTTTACTCAAAATCTGCTCTAAGGGTTTCTCTTTAAGACATTGARCCAACTCAGGAGTGGTACCAAYAGGACACCCTAAAGAACCACCCAAAAGTTTCGCTTTTGCTAAACCATCTTCTTGCAARGACCAACAATTRGTCGCRGTACCACTCTGAGAGAACCCTCGATGGAACAAACCTTTACTCAAAGGTGACAAATAATGAAAATGGACACTGGAACCACCAGCTGAGAAACCAGTCAAAGTAACGGAATTTGGGTTCTCCCCAAAACTTGCAATATTGTTTTGTAGCCATTGCAAAGCCATGACTTGATCCCTCAAACCCATATTTCCAGGTACCACCTCATCCTCAGTACTCAAAAAACCCAAAACTCCTAAACGATAATTAAAAGTGACAAAAATYAAATCGCGATCCATTAWAAAMTCAGGTTTGGCATAAAAGTGACCACTGCAATACATATAAGCCCCTCCATGGATATGTACCACYACRTCAAGTTTCTCRRMMGGATTTGGTACTTCTCTTGGTACATAAACATTGATATAGAGACAATCCTCRGAACCTAYGCCAAAATTTTTGAYTTTTTGGTACAAAYATGTCTAGRACTRACCTGCGGTTACATTTGGTTCAGTCATGGATGTTTGAGCACAAGTTATGAGATGTGTGGCCTCCCAGGTACCACGCCATGGGTCTATAGGTTCAGGTGCCTAAATTTYGGTGTTTTAACTCGATTTGAGTTATTTGGTACTCACTTCAAAGCGTTTTTGGCCAATTGGTGGTTTTGCAAATGGGATACCTTCAAAAGCGGCAAAGTTTCGACCATCATGGGACGTTTTGGTGTAGCCACGGATTGTACCCAAAGGGGTCTGTACCAGCGGCGGGTCAACACACTGACTCACTTTTAATTTTTTTAGACAAAAATTTGCAAAATTATTGGTACTTACGAGAAATAAATAAGAGAAGAAGTAAATGTGGTAACATCATAATATTGTGTAATTATTGTGTCACGGTTGTTTATTTCTGAATCATTGCAATCTTATCCAATTGATAATTATTACATAAGATGAGTCGGCTCTTTTGCGATAATTAGATTAAATACTTTTTCAAGTACTCTAATTTGGTTCAAAAATAAAAATCAAAAATTGAAAATAATTTTTTATTGAAAAACTATTACAATTCGTCTTTGGTAGTACCAAAATTKTCAGTATCTGTCAACCCTAAGGAATTCCAAAAGTCCCTAGCCCCGGTAAGGTTATCACTCGTTTTGACCTTTTTTTCCCCATCTTCAAACCCTCCAATCTCAAGATATGTCAATTGGTCTCCTTGAGTTGGCCTCCATT